GGAGCAGAAAATGGGGGGTATCCGGAGCAGAAAATGGGGGGTATCCGGAGCAGAAAATAGGGGGTATCCGGAGCAGAAGATGGGAGGGCTCCGCCGGACAAATGGGAGACCCACCGCTGGGGATACGCCGCGACCCTGCCACTTCTCCGGCGGAGGGGTCCCATCCATTGTCTGAGTGAGTACGCACAACATCATGCCCATTATGGTCTTTCGAACTGGTCTTCAAAGTAATATACAAAGCTAGCTCAATGACTCTATACTTCCAACCGCTCATAACTTCTCTCAGAAACTCGTTCAGCAGTTAGGGAAGGTAGTACCCTTATCAAGACGCTTTGAATAAGCATTTTACCAAGATCGACAGTTGTGATCTTAAGGTCATTTCCTGTTCCATAGTAGCTAATATTTATTATGACGTCATGCTGTAGAGTACAGACGTTGTTACTTAGCATACGTGATTTAGCTGTGTATAGTGAGCATAATATTTTCGTGAGAACGTGTTTTCACCATAACATATCGCAGCACACATTGCACATAAAAAGTTTTATTGAGTATTTTTCAGTAGAGCTGGGTTCTTTTAACACCCTCGATAGAAAACCAGTTGAAGGTTTTTCTTCAAAGCCGAGAGAAAAAGCAGTTAATTTCGGTGATATGCAAGGTCCAGAAATTATCAATTTATCGCAAGTCTACAACAGCACCATAGAAAGCAAATTTTGCGTTAGTACTGCAACATGCATGCCATATCGTCCATCTGAGCTGAGTTTCGCGTTGATCTGAGGTCTTCACTTCCGTTCTGCGGACGGGTGTTTATGTAAGCGCAACTCAGTGCTTTCTGCAGAAAAGAGGCTCCCGTAGGCATCATCCGATAGAGCAGCCTCCCTAGTTTTTAGTAGCAGAGAAAAGCTCAGAAAGTCTTTTGCTTTAAGGGATCAAATCGCTAGCAAACTTTGAAGAAATCCATGTTCACCTAAAATACTGCCTACTGTAGCCCTACAATAAGAAGCTATCTTACAAATGAAATATGATTTTCATGATTAACGGGTCGGATAACCCCTATAGGCCCCGGGCAGACTTCACGCGATTTGGTCGTCGCGACTGAATCGCGAGGAGACAACTGTTACAACATCATTCCATGCCGATCAACTTGCATTCGGTTGTGCTACTTTTTCAGCCCGAAATTTTTGAATGTGAAATGAAATTGAATGGAAATCTTGGCGATTAGATCGCGACGATTAAGTCGCGTGAAGTCTGACCGGGGCCATAGGCAGACTTTCTGGGAGAATCGGGACATTTGTTTTTCCTCGTTCCCGCTTTTGAACTCGCCGCAGGTTTTGCCTAAAATATTAATGATCTTGATCCGGCCTGAAACTTCGCTCACAAAGGTTTTAGGACCCACTGTTTACGAAAACCTTAGCTAGTCTGCACAAAAGGATTTTACTGCAAAGTTACATTGAGCGGTATCTAGCTAAGTCACGCAAGCTCGTTAGTTTGCCTGCCCTTTTCGCCTGTCTGCTGATGGACTTGCCTGCACATTCTTGTAGGTTGGAGTCTCTGTGAAGAGTACAGTCGGAATGTACTTTATCTGTGCCTTCGTCTGCACTATTCCTGATTATGAGCTTACGAAATCACGTTCTCATGAATTTTGTTCCAAACCTAAAAATCGCGTATTTTGTGGAAATCTGTTGGCTTCCTCATGTGCAAGATGAACTTGGTACTTATAACCAGTGTGTTATGCACTTGTGACACATTCTTTTAGCTGCCGATTGAAGAATTCGAAAATAGATTTGATTCCGTAAACTCTTGTTTGCTTTGTAAAGTTAGTGTCATGATATCTTCTTCAAAGTTGCAAACAAAAATTTATTGGTGTTTAGTGCGTTTGTGTCTGAGGTTTAAGTAAAAAAAATTTTCTCTATCTTTGTCCCATCAAATGTGGCGCCCTTTTGAAAAAAGCGAAATTACTTTCGGAATGAGGTAATAGTTTAACTTATTATACATATATTATTATTACTTATAATGAAAGACAGAGTATAAAAGCTGTAAGTTGTTAAACTTCAACTGTTTCAACAACATTCAAAAATTTTGTCTTGAAACAATTCTGAAATACACAGGACTCATGAACTCTCCTTCCTTACTGATGAGTTCAGGGGGGGGGGAGGGAAGTTTTGAGCTCCTTTACTCCGTCTAAGGGCAGGAACGAAACGGAGTTAAATTAGTTCACTGCAAAATTGATTTCCATGTTCAACAAATTATGGCATTACATTTTGTATATAACTATCTCTATTTCTATTTCTATTTCTATTACTATTAGGTTGTACCGAAAGTTCGTTCGTACCATTTCCAGAAATTCATAACTTCTGCTCATTTCAACCGATTTGCATGTTTTCATTTTTATCTGAAAGAGCAAGTCATTCCCTTCTAGCGGCAATCCAATGAGCTTATACTGCATAGTCCCCACAATGGTCGGCCGCCTCATCATGTCTTAAGGGTGACACTGGGTGCCGAATTGTGATGCACAGCCGAGTGTATACTCTGGCAGGGCCTGCCAAGCTGTGAAGGAGTTCGACGTTTCCGGTTTTTGGCCGGATGCCTAGTTAAAAGCCGGCCAGGCTAGATCCACCGTCGTCTGGTTTTTTGGTCGCTAGGCGGTTCTCCCCGCTCCAAGCTCGGGGTCAGCGATCGCCCCGTGGAAATCGAGAGTTGGCCCAGTTCTGCTCTGGTAGGGGAAGAATTTTCATTACTCATTCAGCGAAGATTAGAGAAATAAACCCTGCACATCGGATCCCGCCTACGGCGCCGGGTGGTAGCAAGAACGATGTAGGGTACTCAGGGGTCCTCAGGGTGCCTTTTAAATTGGACAAAAACGACACCTCTGCCCTGACGACACGCCATGGAGACTGCCTCATGATCTGCACCTACAAGCCAAGACAGTCTCCACAAACGCCGACCTCCACGCTCTTCTCAACGCTGCAGAGCACATCAAGTACCACATTATCGCTTTGCAGGAAACGAAGTCTAGTAGGAAGGACGTGCGACAGATGAGTGATGGGACCTTCATCATTTGTGGTGAAAAGTTCATGGTGTTCCATCACGTGACGTTGAGGCGTTGGTTTGTCTTCCACCCATCTATCGTCCATCTTGTCGATTCGCATAAGATCCTATCACCTCGACTAGCCATCCTACGACTACGACCTCTACGACAGAAGACCATCAGCATCATCAACTGTTACTCGCCAACATCAGCAGCTGACAACTCAGAGCTGGAGGCTTTCTACGAAGACGTGGAGCAGGTCGTCCGCAACGAGAAGTCCTTCTACAAGTTCGTTGTGGGCGACTTCAATGCGAAGATCGGGATTCCATTAGAAGAGGAATATAGGATCGGGAAGTTTGGATATGGGCTCCAAAATGGAAATGGCGGACCCAACGTATGACTATGACCGGCAGCCTGCGGCGAGTGCGCCTCAGTGATTTTCGAGAAGAACTTACGCATGTTGAAGGCAACCAAGGAATTGCTCGAAAAAGAAGATTAAAGAAAAAAAGAAGACATGATCCGAGTGTAAGTCATCTCGAGCGACTGATATCAAGCGCCAGTCGCAGGACAGCTTTGCAGGAGGATGTCAGGAAGTACAGGCGTCAAGATACTTGGAGCAGCCGAAGGAAGACGAAGTCTTAACAAGTGCCGAAGGGAGCTCTGCGAATATCACGTGCCGCTGGCTGCACTGAACAAAGACGGGATGATCCCATGTAAGATAGACTCTACTGCGAAGATCATCAGCACTCGCGTCGATGCTTGTTGTCCCCAATGGAGACCATCACGGATTTTGACTGCTAAAGTGCGTTTCTCGATACAACCATGGAGCTATCAACGGCTCCACGACCAAAGCAAGTTTCCATCAAGTTCGGCCAGCCGGAGGACGACCTGTACACGAGATTCTTGCGTCGCATCTAACATCTTACCTTTAGAAGAGATTTTCAAAAGTGCATTCTCTTCAAGAAGGGCGAATAGGAGGATCTTTCAAACTACCGTTCAATATAAGAACATTTTTGCAAAGGATAGTTGCATGGACACATGCAGGAGGTTTCGAGGGTCATAGAATTCTGCCGAGAAAACCAACTGTCTCTCGTCCTAACTTTCGTCCGAGAGTCTATGGCAGCGTCGAAACTAACACCATCTTGTCTGCGCTAGTCGATCAAGAAGTGGACCCAGCTTACGTGAGGACGTTAGCCGACTGCTATAAGGACTGTACAACGACGATACAGCTATTCGCGAGGGGCTCACAATTTTTTGGTCTGAGACTCATTGTAAAAAAAATTTGCTTTCCATTGAACTTCACGTAAGTAACCTAGACATCGACGGTCGCACACTTTTTGATTGAAGGAAGTAAATGAAAAATAATCTGAATGTTCTCCAGCGAGAATTTGTGGAGCTAGCTATATTTTAACAGAAAAGGATATTTGGAGAATTCTTCGATTAGGAAGTCTGCAACATCTTTGCCAACTGTGCTGTGTTTTAACAAGCTATTAAGCTGTGTTGAAAGTCCCATCCGTTTTTGTTTGAATCTATCAAAAACTTGTAAAACGTTGACTAACAATCAGCAAGGGCATTCAGTTCAAACTTATTTCTGTTACCATAGCGACTTTGATCTTTGGTTCAATAAAGATTTTTGGTCCAATATTGTGCTTTACTAGAAGCTCATAACCATGGACGTTCCGCAGTAAGGATGGCAGATTTATAATAGCGTTTCTATTATGGTACAGTCATTCAAAAAGCTAATTCGACTGTACATGCTTCCCTTGTTAGCTCAGCTCATACATTTCGATATATCTTATGGGTCAACAGCTTTTTTACTCTTCGTTTTCTCCCTTTACTTTTGTATTCTTGCCGTACTAGTAAAAAGAGTTGAAGCAGCAAATGTGTAGCAAAAGGCACGCCGTGAAAACCGGTAAAGTACGTACTAAACTCATATGGTTGGCTATACGAAAATATTACGTCGAAGTGCTTTGGGTCATCTGCCAGGAATCATATGCAGATCTAATTGTAAGTTGAAGCCAGCTTTACAATATGTACGATTGACGAAGGACGTCGGGGCAAGAGATGTTCTGAGAGAAACCATAGGAACACTTTTTTTGCAGGGGTCCCTGCATGGATCCTCTATAAATGATGCTTACAAAGCAAATATAAAGCCTTTTGAAAGACAATCTCTTATATCCAGATTTGCAAGCCAGTAAAGATTGATCCACATTTGCAACTTTACTAATCATGTAAACAGTTCATGAAACTATCGAGTGAAAGTCAAATGTTCCATGAATCATCTACTCATGCAGGCTTTATAACACTCGGCGGCTTTAGTATCGACATAGCGGGTGTAGCATTCCCGGAAGCACTGCAAAACAAAACATGCCGTCACTTCGAAAAAGTGATGGAAGTGAAAACAATGAACAATAAAATGTAATTCAAACAAGAAGAGGAGAAACATACATATTGGACCTTATCCCATTGCGATGACGGAACTATAAGCAGCACGGCAAGAATGAATGTCTTCAAAAACCACATTGATGTAGCTGACTGCAAAGAACAAGAGCTTCGTACTCAATGCCTACGTTCTCTTTACATTCGGTTAAAATTTTCTAAGAAAGCCTAACACCTTCAAAACTACCAAAGCTTATTATATCACGAAATATTCGCACAGAGATTCAATCACGGTTCAAAGCCAAGATAAAAAATTTTTAGAATGTAAAAGCACATCTATATTTATACATGATGTCGAATCACCAGTCACTCTATTACTGTTGGTTTACGGTGTGAACGTTCAGCATATCGCGCTACTGTGGAATAGGACTTTTGATGAAACAAAATTTCAAAGAATCGAAAATTTGTGTAGCAAGGTTTTCAGGCGTGCTGATTTCACTGCACAACTTTTTACCAGTTTTCGAGCCTTTTCAATGGTATAATCACATTTCTGAAGACATTGGAAAAACAGTTGTTACCCTAAATATGAAATAGCTTATAAACGAAGCACCAGAGTGAAGCAAATTTTATAGAATTAGCGAGTTTCACTAGCCCATCAATACTTTCTTGTTTGTTTGGTTCTCTTTCTTCGTTTGTTTGGTTTTCTTTCTAAGCCAGATATCGCTTTTAATGGCTACCTCTTCCTCGAAACTCATACCGTAATCCTAAACTAATGAAGAGTTTCTAAGTTGAACCCGTTTCTACAGAATGGTTCCTCTAGCTCGGCGAAAGACATAAAAGCAAGGGTACTAACGATCAAACAGTGTTCACATCTTTTTGGGACACCCTGTACATGTTCCATTAACTTTTTCAAAAGTTTAAATTTGTCATACTCTTGTCAAAGTCCAAGTAGATCTATACCACAATCTTTGCACGGCCATAAACTTTTAGCCTTCTACAAGCGTTGTTTGGATCCAAGCACTTTATCTAGCTTAAAAAAAACAAGAGGCGATATTTTTGTATTTTTAGCCTATGTTTGTTCCCTGTATCATGGCTAAGAAAAAAAAAACAGATCAAGGTCTTTTGATATTCATGGAGAAAAAGGTTGGTATACCTGCTTCAACTTTTAAACATTCAAATCAAAAATTACAGTGAAGAAAAAATGCTCATGCATGGAATCGTAATGCTAGCCAACGAGTTCAAACTGGGAAATTTCCTATTATTTGGAGGTTAGGACCCGTGTCCTGCTTCAATAAGCTGCTCTTTCCATCTTTCATCCCGCTTCCGTCTGCTTCATTCTGCATCCTCACACTCTCTTTTGTTCTCTTGAGGCAGCCTATGTCCACTTGGTGGTTCATTGTAGTTGCAAATGCCTACCTAAAAGCAACATCATCCGAAAGTATCGCCAACGCCTCAACGCAATAAGAGAATGAGCTTTTCTGTTATTGTTCACTCCAAATTGTGCAAGCGGTTTGATAGTGATATATTTGATTTTTTCGAAATGTTAAGCTTATGACATTTACTGCAAGGCGTGAGTATCAACTCAATAATAATGTCTGCGAGTATTCTACCGTTACCAAACAGCGTAAAGAGAGAGGGGATTAGAGGGGGACCGAGAATGAGAGAGAGGAATACGTGCTGATAATCGTGCTCTTCATATAGAATTTGAACCACTCAGATGTAGCAAGCAAACTTTTTTGTATGAAATAACAACGGCAACATTATACTTTTTCATTGTGTAATAAATCTCTTTCTTTATCAACAAATTATTTAAATCAAAGCACATAGAGGCAGAACATGTGTTTTTAAGGAACTTTGCTGGCTCAGGCAGTAAGTGTGGGTGACGAGCAGCGATAATACGTGGGATGTCTATTGGCTGGTTATTGCGCAAAGCAAAGGCGAAGATGTGCATATATCAACGTCTTTTATACATGTAAACAAAGATGCATCTTAAATGAGCGTATGGTGTATTGTGATGATTTCTTGACAATACATCGCTAATTCTCAAATCACTAAACGTTAGATAATGTGAGCATATAGATGAGTGACAACGTGGCGATAGATTTCTAAAACATCGAACACACATCATTATTGATATTGCCATGTTCAGTTGATAGCTAGGCAGAAGCAGAATACCTAATTATGTTTGATGGCTAAAGGTGATATTTTTGAGAATTAAAAAATCCCCACAGAAAGCAGAGGTAATGGCTATGAGAAGGTCTAAAGTCGTTTGTAACGAAAACGACGTGGGGAATAACGCAGATAGGCAAGAGGAAGATGATATAAGGGATATTCGAAGAAATATTACGAAAGTAATAAATTTGAATGTTAATGAGAAAATGCTCATGAATTTCCTATCTGGTTAAGTACAAGATCAGGTGAAATTGCGAGGAAGTTTCTAATAGTTTTTATCTTTGACAGAGTTCCCCGATATCACAGGCTATTGAGTCTTGCTCAATGTACTGAAGGTGTTCTTGAATTTTGATTGTTTGTACGGCTGGACCAGTCACCTTGAAGCTCATTGCGATTTCGGATATATTGAACTGGAAGCGTAAATTCTTAACGTGTCCCCTTATCGTGCGTTGCGCTACTTGATTCTTTACAGCGCAAGCGACCGGCTAAGGTGTTACCCGATTTGCTCTTGCCTAGATATGTAATCCCAGCGTCTGTCATACAGTTGTAGCATCCTTCTGCGTCACTGGCAATCGTTTCGCAAGAAGTGTTTGTTTGTCGAGATGTTATCTTCAGGCTGTTAGCAACGATGTGCAACTGAAGCATTGAACAAGATCAATTTATCATACAGCATCTTACGTTCCGGATAAATCATAAAGTTTCTTGATGTTTGTGAAAGGCGCGAGACTTTCATCAGCTTTGCAATGTTTCCGAAGTTGCATGTGCAGGAGCTTTTTGAGTGTTGTTGAACATGAACACGTTCTCATTACGAAAGCGCTGAATTTTCTGGCCTTATGAAGAGAAGCGCATTGAAGTTGTCCAGCACTTCTTGGATTCACCTGTACTTTGCATGCGAATTGTACTATGAATATCTTTCCATTCATTTCCATGAGACTGTATGAAGAATTTCATAAGCTAGATAGAAAAAGAAGAAAGATACGTAGAATAGCGAGATATGACGCATCCCCTCTCAGATCCCCTCCCCTCCTCAGCGGTGATGTACGTGCATACGGGCCTTAGAAGCGCTAGTTCTTCAGAAAGACCAGTACTACTTCTCGGGATCTACAGCTTATACTACTTACTTATTTAGATACTCAGATGGCTTGTATTGGGTAATTCGATAATTTTTCATCGAATGAATGAATATCGAATAAATTCGAAAATAAAAAATCTCGAATAAACGAATATCGAATAAATTCGGAAAATCAAAAATATCGAATGAATGAATTTCGAATAAATTCGGAAAATCAAAAATATTGAATGAATGAACTTTGAACAAATTCGGAAAATCAAAATTATCGAACGAATGAATCTATATATATATAAAACTCAAAAATTGTCAGTTTGGAGGGTATGTGCGTTATAGAAACGCGCGCCGCTCAACCGATTAAGCTGAAACTTTACACACATATGTTTTCGAGCCTTGCGCAGATGATAGGCTACTTTTTGCAGCGATTCGTTGGGTCCTTCTATCGATTTATTGATTTGCAGCACTTTGCAATAAAAATGATTCTTATCATTTGCTATCAAAACAGGGGTATGTAAACAAGGCTGGCATGTCTCATTGTGAACTTCTGTTGACGAAGTGCAGTGAAAAGTGTTCTTGATGTGAGACTCAATTGCTCATTTAAATGAATGCACTAAATGTATCTTATGCGGAAACCTTAGCGTGCAAGAGACCATGAGTGCTTTGTAGCGAGTGTTTTGTACGGAAGCGTGCTCAATTTACGCTTATAATCAATGCTTTCTTCGTTACATGCTCAATTTAAACAATGAGGGGTCAAAATTTTTCATGAGATTGCGCACAAATTATTTGTCAATACCAGAAATAATGTCAAGACAAGCGACAACTCACATTCGCTATAGTTGATCCCTGGGACCAGGAAAGTGCGCGAGTGCAAAGTACTGCCGACTCCACAAAAATTGACGGCAAGCAGTGAATGAAGATGAAGTAGCCGGTTAACGGCAAAGTGTCACAAAAAAATGATCCTCATAATAACAATGAGCGCTGCTATCAATTAACTCGCGCTGCTTGCTTAGGTTTTGCGTGTTGAACTTGATTTGGAGAAAGAGAGATATGCTACCGACTAATAAGTGTTCACATTTTGTTTTTGTTCTTTACACAGTTTTTACAATGCCACCGAATACCTTATCTTCATTCCCGATCAGTGATCATTCCCGGGCTGGACCGGGCAGATCAGCTAGTATCGAATATATTCGAACATTGGAAGTCGAATTTCGAATAATTATTCGAATGATTTATCGAATAACTAAAGCAATCACATCTTAAACTTGCCGACATATCTGGCTAAAGCCGATCCAATCGTAATTAGCCCCCTAGTATCCCCTATACCAATTCCTAGCTCAAAATTCTCCAAAAATTGCTGAAATCAATAAAATAGATTTCGGTTTTAATCAGCACCCTCACTTACCCCCTTGTACCAACTCCCAACCTCGTAGCTCAAGATTTTCCAGAAATCGATAAAATCGATAAAGCATATTTTTGTTCATAATCAGCACCCTCACTTACCCCCTTCTATCAACTAGCAACATCGTAGCTCAAAGTTCTCCAAAAATCGGGTGAGAACAGCATTTGTACACCTTGTTTCTGCAGCGTTGTTCGACAGCACACCTTATTTGTCAGGCTTCCACCAGATTTCAAAGACGTTTAGCAGAGTAACAGATAAAGTTGGCTAGAACTGAAATCTGAAACTGAGAAACATTGCAACTTGGTGTAAGCACCTAACGAGCTGTTCGGATTCAATAGCGCTAGATGTGCGATCTCTTGAAGCAATAAGGTGGCCACATATGTACTTAAATTCCACAAATGTTACGATACATTGTCTGTTCATCGGAGACTTTCGTCTTGTGTGGTATAAGCTAGTCGTGCATGTGGTTTCCTCCGCGAAGCGAGCATGAATGCCCCTATAACCCCGGGCATACTGCAGGCATTTCAGTGGCGACATGGTATGGCAATACT